CAGCAAAACTGACAATACAGTTCACATTTTTTAAAAGGCAACAGAGAGGTTTTGCCAGAGAAGACTATTTTTACTGGTCCAGAACAAGGAATAAGAGGTATCATTTGTCCACAAAATAAATTTACCTGACAGAAACCAGAAGTTCCTCCTTGATTTTAAATAGCGTTAAAGCACCAACCTTTGTCAAAGTAAACATGTTGGTTGATTGAGTCAAATCCCTGTTTTTGGTCTTTCTTCAAGTCTCTTCCCACTTTAAACAAACATCTAGTTGACTTTACTGTCTTTCTCAAGTTGGTTTGCTGGTCTTTGATGGGAGGGTCCGTTCTCCATGGCGACAGTCTACTGGTGAGAAACAGCAGACAGTTAGGAAAAGTTTACCAATCAGAATCACCAAATAAATACCCAAAACAATGAAAACCCCTCTGTTATATTGTTATTCTTTTCTTTTACTTGTTCTCTTAATAGTTTGATATTTGTCTTCTTAGTTTTTGCCCACTCTGAGCATTTAATGAGTGTACAAAGGAAAAGAAGAGAGAGATGGAGGTTTGAAGCTTTCCTTGCAGCATACAAACACACAATGGACAAAAAAGAAACTCACACCTGCCTCCCCTAACTCTCCCTGTCTGTCGAGCTGTCTGCACCAGCAGCAGGCCCAGCATTTTTAAGTGGTGTTTTTACCTGCAGCTCTAATAACAAAGATTATCTGTCGTAAGAAGCTCTCCACTTTCTTAAATATTAGGGCCCAGAGAAAATGGCATACCTGCTTTTACCAGAGAAATCAATTTAGGCTCCCCTGTGCCCTGCATGCACTGATGAGCCAGCCAAGCCAAAGCCCCTGCATGAATCCACACTTTCTATTGAAGAGTGAGAATCTGACAAAAAAAAAATCACATAATTACTATCTCTGCAGCAGCCATTTTGGTTTAATCTGTTTAATCTGTTTAAGGTTCACAGCTAATAAAGAGTGTGAGAGTTAAACTTTGCACATTAGGTGATAAGATGAAAGGTATGAAGTCTAACAGCTACTGCTCTGGTGCAATTGCACAGTAATACTTCACTTCCATTGGTGTTATCTTGATTTTACAGATTTGAACCATCTAGATCAAAACAAAGCAAAATATTAGCTGTAATGTCTCTTGCTAAACCAGCATCACTGTGAAGAGCTGTCAGCATCCAATCTTTGGAGTAACTTCTCCCCCCCTTTTTTCTTAGTTTATCTGTGAATTATTGTGTGAATTTTGTGAAAACAGAACCTAGAAGGAGCATGTACAGGGTGAACAGTGCAGGTCCTAATATGGAGCCTTGTGGCACTCCACAGGTGATGGAGGACATACACAGACACGTGGTATTGGATTGGATGGAAAAGGATCTGTCTGATAGTATGACGTGAACCACTGGCGAGTCCCCTCCTGGATACTGAGGTTTACAGAGTCAAAGCAGAGGTGAGGTCTAATTTCATCTCTTTCGTTTCACTCAAACCAAAATCAATGTGAGAGAATAACAATGTTCTACAACAGTGTAGTCAGGCAATTAGCAGGGGCTCCAAATGCTAATCCTTTGAGGCTGTGTGGACTTGCACCTACTTTCTGTTTAATCTAAATGCAGTTAAGTTTCAGTGCGCCCTCAGCCTCAGCTATTTCTGACCCTGCACTCTCAGTGCCCTCAGATAAGTCAGCATTTTAAGAGCATCCCTTTCGAGTGCTGTTTCTTTCTTTCTTTCTGACATGTGGTTTGCGTGAAATAGTTTGGTTATTATCTTCTGTGACTGTGTCAGTGTGTGGGTGTCATTTTCGACAACTTTTTCACACGGGAAGAGGTCGTACTTTTCTTTACTCATACAGCGACTGTGTGTGTTGCGCACATAAACGGGAGTGTTTAAGAAAAGTTCGACAAGTTTACAGAGCAGTTCTTTTTAATATCCAGTATTTAGAAAAAGCCTACAGCTTTGTGTTTAATGGACATTAACTTTATGAGTGGTACGTCTATTTTTTCATAAACTTTCCCACATACTGTTGGATCCGAACAAAACGGCAGTTACAAACTTGACAACACAGTTTATTCAGCACAGCCCAGCTCCAACAGTTCTAGGCACACTTGAAACTTAACTTTCTTGTCCTCAACTTGTGCATCTGACCTTGGCTGAAATTTGACATGGATCTCTACAGTTTAACCCCTGAAAGCCTTCAAGTATTTTCAGACATTGTGTAAATAATGGGAGCGAGATATCGACATGGAATTCTCTCTTTTTGACCATCTTTACACTCACTCTGAGTCTTCTTCACTGCTTAGACTTCTTTTTGTGACCTTTCCTTTCTAATTATTTCGCCTTAAGCTAGGTTCACACTACAAGATAATCAGACTGATCTGAGGCCATAATTAGCATCAGGGCTGATTATTTGAATGTTGCAAAGATTATCCAGTCAGGACTTCCTGCCTGGTGAGGTGTGAGGCGTGTTAACAGTGATTTTAGTCCTTCTGTCTGCTCGAAAGATGATCAGGCCTCAATTTGAAGTCATAAAAATGACACAAGTTCATCATTTAGAATTGCATATCCAGATGTTTTGATGGAGGACAGCTGAGCATGCATGAAAAGCTAAAAGAGAGCTTTGGATCTACTGATGTTTATTTATATGGCACCCGTTCACAACAAGGGATATCTTATAATACTTTTACTGATGCTGACCATTGTCACACTGTTGATTTACAGCAGCTAACAAGTTGCTTCAGGATGAGTTTTTTTGCGCTTCTTGTCCTAAACATCTTTCATTCATCTGCTTCATCATTACTTGCACAATAGTAAACCCTTTTGTTTTTTTTAACACTGTGTGAAGATCAAAGCAGAACTTGTAGGCAAAGGTCATGAACAGGCGGTGTGGTAAGACGGGAAAAGAGAAGTGTGAGAAACTCACACCATTTCCATTGTCTACGCACTGGCTCACACACAAACACACACAGGAGTTACCCAGGGACAGTGAAAGCGTGATGTAAGAGTCAGAAATTACTGCATTTCAAGAAAAAAAAAAACTAAAATCTGTATCCAGTAAGTTACCATGAGAAAGTTAGTCTGAACCTCGGCCACAAACCTCAAGTGCAACATGCAGAGTTTTTTTTTATTCTGAGTGAAATATCTCAGAGCAAAATTCGCAGAAGCTTTATCTACCCTGTTAGATGGGCTGATATTACTGACGAGAATTAGGGCCACAAACGAAACAAAACAAACTCTGGCTGTTTTTTCAAAAAATGAGAAATTTAAAATATAGTAAGAATTTGACTTACACTCAGGAATCAAAGATTGAATGTTTTTGAGAAATTAGAACTCTTCTTTTCAGAATTCTGAGTTTTAAATTGGAATTCTCTAAAACACTGGGCATTAATTAGACTTCTGTCTGGGATTAAAGTCAGATTTTTTTCTGGATTCTGACTTTCTATCAGAAATCAGAAATTTTATATGATGTTCTTGCTTTTTTTTTCTTGGTTTTTGTCTTCTACTAATTCTTAGTTTAATATCAGATTCCCCCTTTTTTGTTAGAGTACTGAGCTGCATCCTGAAAAACTGATCCTGACTTTGATCTCAGAATACTGAAAAGTCAGAATTTTGATCGTAGAATTCCCAAATAAAATTCAGAGTCTTAACTTGATTCTCAGAATCAGACATTATTTCAGAACATCTTTTTATCACAAACTTTTGACCTTTTCTCAGAAATCTAAAATTAAAGTCAGAGTCATTTTGATGTTTTTTGCAGAATTATCATTTTAATGCCAAACTTTTGCAAATTCAAGTCTGTATATACTGTCTATTTTTTAAATCTGTGAAAAAGTTAACATTTTTTGTAAAACCCTCTTTATCACAGTTTTTGATTTAAGCCTGAACTTTGATTTTTTTTAAAATTGGAATTCTTTTTTGAAGTCAAAACCTTGAGAAAAAGTCCTTTAATTTTGACTTTTGTCATCTTCTAGATTTGTATAAATTTGTCAACTTTCCATGTTTCTACAGTGTCAAACTTGAACTCCACATTTGTTTCATGACCAACCTGGAGAGTCCTGATCAGCCTCTGCTCCTCTTCAATGCTGATTAGGAAATGTGCATGCTGACTCAATCATGTAATTTACAGTCCCCTCGGAAGTCCTAAAACCTATATAAATATATATATAAACATATAATTTATATACAATATAAATATAAACATAAACTCAATAATGCATCAGGCTTGTGCGATGGAATCTCTGTTGATAATCATCCAAATCATCAGTGATACACTGGCATGCTCACCTGTCCAAACTTAAATTAGTTTATGTATAAAAAAAATAGTATTTCAGTTTGGGACGTTTTACAGCTTATCCTCTTTGCTGTGGTTTGGTCATAGATACAAAGGGTTAAAATTAAACTCAGAGCACTGCCTTTATGCTTGATATGGCTTTCACACATAAAGGTCTACAAGCTGTGTGCTGGTGTGTTGGTTCAGTGTCCACTAAGAGTGTAAAGGTCCACATATTCATTCAGAGCAGTGTCAGTACAGCACCTTCACTTTGGTGCAGGTGAATACAGATCTGAATGCAGGACTAAAAAGTGATTCAAAACCAAGGTTGGGAATCTGAAAGGAAGTCAACAGCAGTCACCCATAAAGGTGGACATATAATAGATTATGAGGCCTTTCACATAAACTACTGCTCACTTATTGTTCCCTCGGGGATCCTCCTGAATGACTTTAAATTCAGATGTATCTTAAGTTTTTGAACGTTATGAAACTCAAAGACTTCTTTTCTCTATAATCAGTTAATTCAATTCATGTATCGTGGTTTGCCCAACTGTTTTTGAGTCTTTTTAGAGTACCTGTTGTTTTTTTTTCCTTTCCTTCTTGAAGCAGATGTAAGCTGGATCCTAAGAGGTATTTTGTATTTTTTTAAGCAGCACTAAATGTGACTCTTTGACTTCAGACCCTCACTCTACTAGTTTCAGCTGAATACCACATTGTTGTTTCCTGTTTCCACTCGAAGTAGCAATGCCCCAGTTGTTCACAGAGAGGCGGAGTTTTTTGTGGTTTGACTCTGAGCTACATCCATCTTACCGCACTTCTGCATTTCTCACAGACGGCTGGAACATGTGTAACATCACTTTGAGACAAAATGGGACAGAAACAAGGAACCCCACTTACGCTGTGGTGTTTGGATCTGTAATAGCGGTGGGTCTGCCTCTGAACGCTGTGGCATTGTGGATTCTGGTACGATGCCACAGCCTCAAGTCGCCAAGTGTGGTTTTTATGGTCAACCTGGTGGTGTCAGACCTGCTGCTGGTCATCTCTTTACCCATGAGGGTCTACTTCTACGCCACTGGCTCCTGGCCTTCAAGCAACTTTGCGTGCATTTTTACGACGATGCTTTTCAGGAACAACATCCGCTCCAGCGCCTTCTTCATCACCTTCATCTGCGTGGACCGGCTGCTGGCTGTGGTTTACCCTCTGAGGTCTCGCCATGTTCGTACCTCATCTAATGCCTGGAGAGCTGCTGCGTTTGTTTGGCTGCTTGTGCTTGTAATGAACATCCCAGAGAGCGTGATCTTTTCACGGTTCTTGAACAGCTACCCTGAACCCTCATGCTTTGAATTTCAGTGTCCCCAAAGATCAGCGCTGCATTTTATCCAGCCTGTGTTGGTGTTGAGCATGCTGACAGTCAACATTGTCTGCACTGCTCTGGTCTCTTTGACTTTACAAAGACACCTGAATGACTCGGCGAGGGTCAACAACAAGGTGAATGTCATGTTGATCTTTGTCATGAACTTGATCATGTTCATGGTGTTTTTCTTGCCGGTAACATTGGGAATTCTCATTCAAAGCTGGAGACCTTTTCTCACACCTCTTGTATGTGTGGCCAGTGTAAACTGCTGTCTGGACCCTCTGCTGTATTACTTCTCTTTTGATGGTTTCTGGAGGAGAAAAGAGGATGTGGACTCCTCTCTTGGGAGAGACTAACCACAGATCATGCACTTGATAGTGAGAATAGTATTTGTGTCTTTTTAAAGTCGTTTAAATGCACAGAAAAGCAACTAGAGAAGTGGAGATGCAGACAAAGAAAACTTTTGATCCGCCATTTTCTCTCTGTTTTTTTTTTTTTTACCATTTTGACTCAGGTCTGATGTTTCATGTCTGTAAACAGGAAAGGCATGCGAGAAGGTGTTTCTCACTTCTCATCAGAGCTGCAAAATCCAGAACAACACAGGCAGTTTGCAAACCTGCACTGAATACAGATGAAACTTAACACCTCTACCAGGTTTGAATAAATCTTAAGTTACCTGTTGGACCTGTTATTTTTGTATGGTTGGCCTTGAGATTGAACGGGGAGGGGATAACGATATTTTTATGGAATCAGGACTGACATAGATGGTCGATGTTTAATCCTCTTCTATGAAGAATAATTTATTTTTCCCATCCTGAAACAGTCACTGGCTTGTGTTTAGTATAAATTCTGCTATAATGTGTATAGAAAATATGTGTATATAGATCATGTCACTTTACCTAATATATAACTTCAAATCCAGAAAAAAAGTCTTATTTGAGCTATTTTACATCTAAAAAGACCTGAACTGCTTCAGTATAAAAAAGGCCCTTGAAGTAAAAGTTAAGGGCCTCAAATGGGAAAACTAATATGGAAAGCAAATGTTTCCTATTTCATTATTATGAGCAATTAACATTTAATCTCATTTATCTCATTACCTTCAAGAAATTTTCTCGACTTGTCAGATGAATGTGGCTTAATTTAAGACGTTGAAGACATTTTGAACCAGAAATGTGACAAAAACACTCCAAGGTCAGATTTTTGGCAGTAAGTCTATCTCAAAAAATATCACGAGCTTGTATAACCATGTGTGCTAGGTTATGATGTGCATGTAATTATGGATTTGGCTGTAACTTTTCTTTTTCAGCCCAAACATTTACCCTTAATTAAATAATTACAGACTTGTGAGACATATTTTACTGTGATTTTTTTTTCCTGTTGACTTTTATATTTATATGTAATAGTTGTGTCCTATCAGATACAAGAAAATACAAATAAAATCTGCATATTTGTAACATTCATTAAGGGCTACAGTGCAAAAGCAGTTATCAATGAAGGCTCTTTCATGAACCGTATTACTGAATGTTTTTTCTCTCCAATTCTGAGTTTATTTGTCAAATCATGCCTTCCATGTCCTTTTGGTAAACCTTCTATTTAAGGATGAGACACAATCCTCCTTTGTCCTTGTTAGCTCTCCTTTTCTGATTGCATGTAGCATCACTCTGGCACTGTCTCGTGTAGCTTTGGTTATAAATCTTGCGATGCTGCTAAAGCTTTTGTGCTTTTTGTCAATGCCTCAGTTCGTGAGCCAGCAGCACTCAAGTCCTAGAAACTCTGCCAAGCAGAGTGGCATCTGTACACGCCTGCAGGAAATTGATCCAAAAGAGGGTCTAGATTTGGAACAATCCAGATGTAATGTCTGGATGGAGACTCATGGGGATTAACTGCAGACAATTAGCACAGTCGTAGGTAAAACCTCTACTTGATCCTTTTGTGTTTCACAAACGATCGTATAAACCCTGCTCTGAACAAGCTCCTCTCTATGCACTGACACCTTTTATTTGTTAACATAGATGCAGTTGAAAAAAACACAACTTCAACATGCAGTGCTGAGCAATTATCTCACTGCATAAACTTGCTTCTCACCATGCAACTCTAACATTTATGAGATCACTTTAATGAGCAGAAGAATTCAAAGGGTTGTCTGTCATAGAGTTGTTGTTGTTGTTGTTGTTGTGTTTTCCTAAGATCTATTTTTCTTTTCTCAATGTGACCCCTCATAAATTAATGACCTGCTCGGAGGTGGTTTCCTCCCCCGATCACCTCCATATATGTTTAATCTGACCTCTACCTGTGCCCTCCAGAACTCCAGCTGAATTCTGAGAAGCTGAGAATAAAAAAACAGCTGCTGCTTTATAAAACTTCACCTCTCTGATGATTTCTAGCCGTAACACACGACAGAACTTATTCGTTCTGGCTCCACTTTGCTCTGCTGAGGCCATAAGGTCCAATTAAATTTACCTCCTAACACCAAACTGAGGACGTTTATGACAGTCCGTGTTCAGTGCAGAGGTTGTTTTTGAGTGTGGGTGAAACTGCCTGGAATATCAGAGGTTTGGAGCATCACTGGAGCAACCATTGGACCAAAGGGGTTGGAAAAATATATGACCCAAAGCCAGGGTGATCTAGAGACAATGTTTGTTGGCAGTGCACTCTGGCTGGTAGTCTGAATTTGCTTTGAAAAAACTCAGAGCAATTTCTTATTTTGGTTTGTGTTGCTACAACCTGCATCAGGTTAAGGTGTCTAAAGCTCAGGCATCTGCACTCAAACATAATGACGAGTATATTACTGGACCAAACATATTCAAATATTTCAGTTTGAGTATTTTTACACAGTCCTTTAAGTCTATCCAAGTGGTAAGAGTCGCTCTGGTTTTGAGAGGCAAAGCTGAAGCACAAGTGCTAAAAATTGCTGTTCTTCAAATGGCCACTAGAGGCTGTCTGTTAAAGGGATATTCTAGCGTAAATTTGAGTTATGGCCAAACACACCAAAACACAGAGTTAGACACCCCCTCGAGAGATAAATGTTGCCGACTGCTTGCTTATCTAGTTATACCAACTTTAGTAACGACCGCACAGTAGCAATACACAGCGGTCTACATGCAAACTTCAACCAAAAGAGCCTCTCATAGCCACAAATATTGCTCAGAACAGCACCCAACGTCATCAACCCTACATAAAAGGTCCCAGCCATAGCACAAGTCATCAGGGCTCCCCCACAAACAAGCAGCTGCTGGAGGAGAGTGGGTGATTTGTGTTTGGTCTCTTTGCCAAAGAAATTAGGCAAAGCTAAAAAGATGTTTGGTGGCTAGTACTATGGCTGGGACCATATATCTACCATTGAGGAAGTAAGGTGCTGTTCTGAGCATTATTTGTGGCTATAGAGCGGCTTTTTGGTTAAGGTGTGCACATGGAGACGTAGACTGCTGTGTATTGCTATCACACGGTCGTTGCCGAAGTTGGCATAACTGGAAAAGCAAGCAGTCGGCAACATTTATCTCTCGAGGGGGTGTCTAACTCAGTCTTATGGTGTGTTTGATATTAACATAAATTTCACACCGGAATATCCTTTGAAGGCCTTAGCAGCCACACACTCCCATTCAAAGAGGCCAATTTTCATGGCAAAAACAAACACATTTAAAGCCTGGTGAAAGTGTAGACAGGGAGAGCAACAGCACAAAAAAGGAGCTGGAGTTGGCCACCAGTTAAGCGAGAGTCAGCCCCCCTCTGCCCCCTACATGATTTATACTGTCGATGAGCCGAGCAAGTAAACAGATAAACCATCTGCTGTGAAAAGCAAACCTCTGTGAGCAAAGTTAACACTCAGCCCTGCTTTCGTTGTTTTTTATGGATATGTTTTTAGATCACTTCCTTTTTTTTGGCATGGTTTTTATTAATTTGAGGTGGACTGATTTGCCTCACAGTCTTCACTCTTCTTTAAAACCAGAGAGTAAAGCAGTGGCAGCTGTTTTGACTTTCTGTCTATCAAAAGATATGATGAATAAAACAGAGACAAATGGTTTGATTGATGTTTTCTGATGCCGTATGATTCAAAATGAAGACATCAGGTCTCTCTCCCGAGTGGATTAAGCTCTCTCCCATGAAAGTGAGACGTGCAATTGTCCGATCAATGAGGTTTTGGTTGGACGAGAGCTTATCAATCAGCTAATTGACCAACTGACTGGAGTGTGCCAGCCTTCGTGCTCATGCAGCTTTCTCATCCAGTGCATGTTTCAGAGCTACCTTTATATTACACATGTGCATATCAAGGTCAAGCTTGCATTTCTTTAGGGCTCTCCATCTGTAAGTGAGTGATACCCCAGATCTGGAGAGACCGGAGAGTCTGACTGCATTATGAATGTGTTTGCTCAGGCCGGTCACAGTCAGCTGGCCTTCTGCTCCCGAGGGGAAACCAGGGAATACACATACATTCTCTCGCTCTTTTTCTGTGGCTTTCTTTTTCTGCCTCAGCCCAGCACACAAACATTAACACTCGCATAAGTGCGCTGCATAAAAAAGAGAAAGGGAAAAAGCCTAAGCAGGTACATTTAGGTTCGCGAGCACTCTTGCCAAAGCCCACAAACAAGCCTGTTGTGCAGCTGCCAAGTCTGCCTTGGACCAGAGGAGGAGTGCTATTCAAAGGCAGCAGCGGCTCTGGCTACTGTGGAGAGTCGGGCGGCACAAAGCGCCAAAAACAGAGAACAAGGAAAAAGAGAGAGACGAAAACAATGCTGAGCTGCTGAATGGACAGAGGGAGACGACAGGAGAGCTGAGGAACGACAGCCCTGCTGCATCCCAAACCTTCAGAAACCCCCAAAGACCTACTGGGATGGACTCAAACAAGGCACTCACAAGTGCTGGATTTTCAATACCTCACAGGAGAGCTGGACCAATTCATATTAAAACAACCTGTCTGGATGGTTGGTGCCAAGTGCACCAATTACAGTTTTGATTGAAAACCCTTTTTATTTATATATCCTCCTTTTGAGTGAAAAGCAAAGCATTTTGAATCAAAACTGCATCATGTGCTTTGGTTTGATCCTCTTTCACATGCACAGCCCCTTGAATGATTCAGATGTATATTATAACAATGCTGAACTCTGTGAAAGTGGAGACATAGTAGAGACAGAATATCAGAAGTTGACAAGCTGTCATGACTAAGGTGGAGTCACTGCACAACACTCGCAAGTCTAAGTGCAAACCTGGATGTGAAGGCCTGCATGAAGATGTTACGGTGGGTTCAGGTCTGTTTTGTAAGTGAGCAGCTGGGTTTTGAGTGTGATATGGCTGAAAGTGGGAGCCAGTATAAGGAAAAAAACACTGGAGTGACTTGTGCAGTCTGGATCGTGTGCAGAGG